CAAAAGAATTATATATATTATATATAATTCTTTTGTATTTATGTTTGTCATCTATTTATTTTGAATTGCTTGGACTGATTTGAATATAATTTTATGTCACGTACCTACATATTTCATTGGGAACACATCTGACTATTTCGACGAAAAAGTAAATATTAAAAGAAAACTTACATAAGTTTGAATTTTTATACCTACTACAATATTTTTTTATGTAATTGGAATGCAACAAGCTGTTGGGATAACTGCTGGTAAGCTGTCACTGTCTTTTATATACATGAACAGTACTATGGATATCACCTTATCATGTGATACTCATAGTACTATATGTATATGCTTTGATGTTCCAGAGGACTAAAATGTTACATCTCTTATCCTACAATTTCACTGCATTTTTTTACTTTACAACCTACAACTAAAGCAAGAACGGTACTGCAGCTCCTATGATACTAATAAATTGTAATTTAATCTTTCAGCTAGATCCAACGTGATCATATGGCCTTTAAATTTTGCCCGAAGAAAATAATTATCAAAGTTGTGATATAAAATTTGCGTTTACGAACGTGGAAACTTCTGCGCTTTCAATGAAACTCTAATCGCAGTTTTACGAGATGATATTATAAGTCGGGCGTGTTCGATAATATGTTGTTCATTTAGAAATTATGTACGTGGTGTAAATAATGTTTTAAAATTATAATTTAATAATAATAATCTCAGGACAATTCACACAGTGTCATCTAGACCCAAGACTTGTGTACATGGGTTTTTTTGGTAGATACATACATATTATGCATAGAAAACACCTAGACTGGTACAAACAATCATACTCATAAATACAAATGTTTGTGCCGTGCGAGGAAACGAACCCGCGACAATCGGACGTAAAGCCGTTTGCTTCTGTCGACCGCTAGACCACCGAGGTTGTCTTTTTTATTTTGAATGTTATTGATTTTATAATATAATATAATTTATATTTAATGTTATTGATTTTAAATATATATTGCATTAATGTATTATTATATTTGATTTTTATTCATAAACTACTGTTTATCTTGAGTACTTGTATTTGACATATTTTTTTTATACATAATATTATGTAATTGTAAAACTTTTTTACCGTTAAAAGGATTTTCTTAATTCCAACATATTATTTTTGTATATATTTTATCATATGTTGCCACTTTTATGGAATAAATTTACTTGAATATAAGGCTAAATCTATTAAGGTATCTTATGTCAAAGATTTCATCAGCTGTCCAGTTTCATTTTATAATCACACAGTTATAGTTATATAGTAACATTAGTAATAATACTTACAATTCAACACAAGACTCTATCACAGGAAAACTTTATAAACACAATTGCAATGAAATAGTACGAAAAAAGTAAAGCGAGAGAGAGACTGTCTGAAAAGGTACTTTCACTAATAACAAAAGATGTGACAGTAAAAAATCAAATGTCACTAATAATAGCAAATGTGAATTGTCACACGACGAGGACTCGGTAAGGGCGTGGCTGGTGACGTTCTACTCCTGATAAATTATTTGAGTTTCCGGATTATTTACAACGCTAATTTCGATCTTAACGTAATGTCATAAAGTCTAGAATTCAGTAAGTTTCAATAAGAAAATATTTATGTTATAAGACTTCTCCACTATGTCCCAAAACATGTAAGAAATAATTATTAGAAACGCTGGTAGTAATGCGATGAAAATCGTTTTTGTGGAACTCACTAAAATAAAGTAATTAATTTCAGTCAAAGTTACTTGTGACCAGAGAGTGGTAGCTACATAGCGCAGAAGCTATCTAAAGAGGCAACCATGCCAGTATCTTAGGCCTCGATATGCTGCGTTGAATTATAATGATTGTTTTCTTAGTTGTATAAAGAAGTATTTGTTTGTGAAAGTCGTTAATATAAAAAAAACGACGTCTAGATTTCATGCAATACTTAGATAAATAAAAAATTTTATGCAATAACTATGTACTGAGCTTCGATATTCAGTTAATTACGAAGAACTTTCTATTGTACATGATAAGGTTACAGGCATTCAACAAGGATGGCTCGATTCATGTGCTTTCCCTTTTGCGAAGGCTGATTAAACGTACGGCTCTGCGTTTGTATCTGGTTCAGGATCACTCAGACACTAATGACAAGACTACAAACATTAGTAGGTAGAATACTTCACAACGGCTTTATACTCCAGAGACTGAAGAGCAGCCCAAACCTATAATTAACTTTCAAATTTAATTTTGCAGCATAATCATGTCCTCATAGTTCAATAGATGCAAAAATTTGACTTAAAAAATGAATATTAAAGTCATAATACTTAATTAGCAATCTAATATAGTATTAGAATTTATTATAAAGTACTACGGATAACAAACTAGAAAATATGTTTGAGAATATTATAGGTATAGAGATATACTCGACGAAATCGATTTACCCAAAAAATATTGGTAACTTGGTGAATTTTATATATAATTAAAAGTATAGTCTATATCAAAATGAAATAATGTATCTTTCAAATAGTTGTTTTTCTTCTTGGAAAGCGCGCTACATCCTTGGTCTTGCCAACATTTTCCAGTTAATAATAAATAAATAATAAAAAAAATTAATATACATAATTTCTTAGATTGTTAGACTTGCGAAGTTTACTTGCGTTATAACAAAATCTGCTTTCTCTCGTTACATTAGTATTAATATATGTGACTTCATCTTATAGGGAACAGAACTTCAATTGCATCAGCATCGTTTTACTTAGATTTACATTTGACAAGGAAAACAGGTTAGTAGTTATTATAAGTTAGTTGCAGTTGCCCACGATTTGCGTGAACAATTTAGGTTTTAAATCGAAAGGCTGTAGGTTAGGATGGTACTTATATGTTGTGAAATATTAAATGCTTGCAAGGTAATACGAGACTTGTTACGGTACAGGTAACTTGCTCAATCAATAGCAGTAAGACTAAATCCACGGTGAATAAACTACGTTGGAGTAAAGTGGTTCAAGGCTTATAAAAGGATCGCATTTTTTGGTCAATTAAATCAACAGTCTCCGATAGGTGCGGCATGCGTGTATACAAAGAATCCCTAGCAAATAAATAAATTAATATCCCACAATTTTTTTATGGATAAAATAACATATTGTCTCCTCCAGCGCTGACATATTTAGCATAACTCTAGTAAAGGATGTCAGGATGAACTTGAAAACAGGTCAGATAGTCCGTCGTGGCGTCACCAGAAATTAACAATGATGGTTTCCAGTGATAGATTGTGTGAGGGTCTTTGGATTTTATATGATACATTACAACAATGTGGTCACTAGTCTTTTTTACTAACGATCCAGTCTGGGAGCATTGGATATTTTATTCTTATGCCGTGCCATCAAGCGTCGCAGATCGTAGAAGTCCTGAACAAATAATAGATATACATAGATTTAGACAACACCAAATTGCATATATGTATGCCTTGTTATACTGTATGAAGTACTCTTTCAATAAGCATTCAGTAGTCAATAACCACATAGGTAATAAAATATGCTAATGGTAGAGTTCTGCAAGGATACCGACATTTACGATATGCACCTTACGCAAGAAATTACACAACTACCCGTGATAATTTTGCTTTAATAATTAACGCCTTATATTCCGTATTCAATCAGCATGAACATCTAACCTCAGCAGTAAGGTCAAGGTGTTTGTTTAATAACAAAAAATGTTATTTCTTTACAAAGATCGATCATCTTACTCGTTGTCTACCAAATTACTTAATACTAACTGACCCGGCAAAAGATTTCATATAAATTAATATAGCTATTTAAAATAGGGTTTGATGGTAGAAGGGTCATAATTTAGAGTTGTATATATTGTGAACGCCGAATCATAAAAAAAATATGTCAGATAAGAATTAGAATAGAATAGAAAGAATAGAATAGAATAGAATAGAAAATCATTTATTCAAATAAACTTACATTGAAGCACTTTTGAATAGTCATTACATTTTTTAATCTACCTATTTTATTTATTACATTATTTTTTAATATATCTATTTATTAATTTTTCGGGTGGATTTTTCGTATTCTCAGATCTACTGAGTACCTACACATATAAAATTTAATCCAAATTGGTTCAGTAACTTAGGAATCCATCGCGGATGATCAACTGACACGAAATTTTTATATATTAAGATATGCAACATGTAAAAAAATTAAGTCATAACTCAAAAATAATCGACGGAGAAACTGTATTACTTTAAAATAGAGTACATTAACCTTTTTTTTCATTAATTGTCCGATATCTTTCAATAAAGCCATCGTTAAAATTAACGATGATTTTTAAACGGAAGAGTTTTAATTCGTGCTATATACTTAATCCGCACGATTAAACTCACTTCAAGGAAGGAATTCTTCAATTATGTATGTACCTAGGTCCGGTTTATATTGGTTTCTTTATGACCATTTGTGAACTACATTGGCGAAAAATTTTTTGCACAATATTATTAGTTCGTGGTATATCTAAATTGATGCTTGATGGAAGATTATGATATTACAAGGCTGATATACCTTCAATGAGAAATGCGTGTAAAAGACAAAAAAGTAGAACTTTATTTTTACTTTCTGCAATGCAATGCAAATTTAATTGGAATTGGAATGTATATAAAATCCGTGGAAGTAAAACAAGTTATCAATCTTAAGAACACACTTATATTATTAAGTCTTTAGTAATTCATAAATTCTAACCTATAAACCAACCTAACAATTCTAACCTATTTTGTTTTCGGTAATAAAATCACAGCGGTATGGGGACATTTGTTAATTCTTCGTAGGGCACCGCACTGAAGAATTTTTCAATACTCCTTATTGCTAAGTCTACGGCATAATCTACTATAGGCTTTCCGAATTCCTCGGCAACTAGCTTCCAATTGTCGTTGAGAAACCTTAAAACAGTATCACCTGAAAAATATGTATATTTACTACAATGAAAAATAACTTATTTCACCACAATTGTTGTTAAAACTTAAACTACAAACATTAAATTGAAACTTGGCAATTGTAGCATTGTTGAAATATAAACTTACAAATAATAACATGACATAACCCGTAAGTAAACCCGTTATTCCTCATTATGGTATATGATTAATAATTAAATGCTTAGTTATTGTTTAACAGTATAACAATTCCATAAAAAAAACTATATTTTTTATTGGAGTCTAATTTTTACTTGAACAAATATGCCAATAGATTTTGAATTGAATGAAATCATTAAACTTAATTCGACATATACACTAACAAGTCTCCAGTAACCAATTAATAAAAACTAATATTTCTATTAACTTAATAAATGTAACCCAGGTTTATACTTAGTATATTTTTTGCTTGGTAACAAAATTACAGTGGTATAGGAACATTAATTAATTCTTCATATGGTACAGCAATGAAAAATTTTTCAATGGTCCTTATAGCTAAATCTACTGCATAATCTACTATGGGTTTTCCAAATTCCTCGGCGACGAGCTTCCAATTTTCATTAAGAAATTGTAAAACAGTATCACCTGAAAAAATATATATTAAACGCAATGAAGGATCTGTTCAGTGTAATTTGTGATTCTGTTTGTGATTTTATTTTGAGAACTTGTTTAAAGGTTCTGTAATTATATATATTCTATTCTATAATGCATAGAATTGCTCGAAAAAGATCTTGACAATGTTAAGATTGACTTTTCGTTCTGACGTAAGCTTTTCCGTTGCATTGAATGTATTGATGTTATAGAAAAGATTAAAGTTATGAAATGAACTGTTCGGTTTCTATATATAGGCATTATTCTGTTGTAGGAAGTAGTGTAACGGTAAGTATATATTTATTTGCTTATTTATGTATAATTTTATCTAGTTTATTATCGTTACAATAGATGCAGAATAATTGTTGCGTATAATGTAATATAATAGATTAAAAATCTAGTTATATACCTAATAAAAACTCGTGAATGTTGCCGTAATAGCAGGCTATATTTGCTTTGAGTCATTTCAATGTGGCATGTTAAAGAATATAATAAGCTAGTATGTCCATATATGTACAGACTAGGCTACTTACTCAGTTCTTTGCTTCCCTTAAAGAGGTTTTGGAGATCGAACGTGACTCGGTCTCCGTAGTCGAAAGTGTACTTATAATTTTTTAAGGCGAAGTGATTACGTCCCTCCTTGTCCTTTGTATATTTTGTATTGATATCCACAGTCATTCTAAGATTAGCTGTTTCAAATAATAATATTGTTACCGTTCTATTAAATACATACACTTTTATGCAAACATCATTACACGCATTACCATCAGATGTGTCACACGCTATACCACTATCTGGAATAGTAGTGTCTAAGGCATCATACCTCATATTCTGTAATTTCTCTGCCTAATCAAAATAAGCTGCTTGGCGGCTCAAATAGGTAAGACTGAGGAACAATTTATACGAAAATTAATTGTCTACTAAACATTAATCAAAAGTCACAAAAATCATCATCATCAAAAGATATGTATTGACATAATATTCTCTTGTATATTGATATATTGTCGATGATTTTATTTTCATCGAAACATACTTTGTGTAGAAACTCCAAATCCAAATTTAGTAAGAATCAATTAGGAATTCCATTATATGCAGCATATGGTTTAGGACTTAATTTGACTTTAGTACCTACTCATATATGCAGTTATATAAAGAATAATATAGATACCATATTGAGTTGATATCTCTGAAAAAGCAAGTAAGCTTCACATGATGGCGTGATGTTTGTAGTGCTATTTTTACTTACCATCAGGTGGGCCGTCAGTTTGTTTGCGATTTTAATTACATAAAAATTTAATTTCTAATTACAAAAACATTAGTTTCCTCAAAATTACGTTTCATTCTTAAAAACAGCAATAAGATTTTGTATAATAGTAATCACCGCAGAGTCAATAAGAAATATAAATTGACACAGTTTTCATACATTCGAACTCGCTCCATTCAGTCTAAATCATATTGAGGCCTCGAGACCCAAAAAACAAATTCTCTATACGTACTTAATTTAACTTTGGCGTCTCCCTCTCCATTGATAGGGAAGAGCAAAATTCGTCCAACGGCATCGTATTGACCTTTAATAGTTAGGTTACAATGGAATTGCAGTACAAAGTGGCGCTTCTCGAGTTCCGATCTGTAATTAAGCATAATTGTTATAACTTATTTATTTATTTTTCAAAGAAAATATATAATATTGCGTCTGTAATGTAATGTAATAAATATAAAACAAAGTCATTGTTCTAGTCTGTCGGTTTGATTATTCTAAACGATGTAACTGATCTGATATAAGTTTCATTATGATTTACATACATTTAAAGTATATTATATTGTAATATTATGTATACAGTTATACCAATATTATATATACCTACGTATACTAGTCACTAAATCGTAAGAAATTAGAATATAGAATATTAAGTTTCAAGTGATTATGTTTCGATGGGGTAAGAATAAGATATACAGAAAAAATATCAGCTATATATTTTCAATTAAAATTTCAGTAAACATTTGAAAAAGATAAGATAATTCTACTTAAAATCAGTATTAAGCAGTTTATTCGTAATAAAGTAAATCACATAATTATATCTATGCATATAAATGAACTTATGTGAAATTGGGAACTTTGCGTTTGACAGCAGTAAGTAGATTAAACGATTTGCATATACTTATTTTTTGACGTAATTTTATTTTCCCTAACGAGTACTGATAAATAAAATAATTTTCATAACATAATCGTTTAATATAATAACAAAATTTTGAAGAATTGAAAATAGAGTTTCTGAAACTGAATTACGTTTGCCATGAATCAAAGGCGAAATTTTGGATACACAATTCGTAATTTATTTTTCATGATAAATCGTTGACGTTTTAGTTTTAGACAATCTACAAATCAGTTACAGATATATATTTATATGTTACAGTTAATAGGTCAATCGGTTTAATTTTCCCAACTACACATAAAACATATCATCATCGCAGCCCGGAAGGCGTCCACTGCTGGACATAGGCCTCTCCCAAAGATCTCCACGATGATCGGTCCTGCGCTGCTCGCATCCAATGCCTTCCAGCGATCTGACCGACGACCAGATCGACCAGATCGTCGGTCCACCTTGCTGGTGGCCATCCCACGCTGTGTCTTTCGGTCCGTGGTCGCCACTCGAGGAATTTACTGCCCCAACGCCCATCTGTCCTATGAGCTATGTGCTCTGCCCATTGCCACTTCAGAGTCGCAATTCTTCGGGCTATGTCGGTCACTCTGGTTCTTCTGCGGATCTCCTCATTTCTGATTCGATCACGCAGAGTAACTCCGAGCATAGCCCTCTTCATTGCCCTCTGAGTGACTCTGGCAACACACATTGGTCGTAAACCTTCGTCTTGAGACACTGCGGAAATTTGATCGAAAAGATATATCGGAGCTTCCCGAACGCTGCCCATCTGAGTTGGATTCGACGATTGACCTCTTTCTCGAAATTAGATCTACCTAGCTGGATAGTTTGCCCTAAGTATACGTAGTGATCGACAATTTCGAGTGTAGAATCTCCGATTTTTACGGGAGCAGGTACGACATGGACGTTTGGCATAATTTTCGTCTTGTCCATGTTCATTTTAAGACCTTCTCCTTGTAAGACTCTACTGAGGTCATCGAGCATTTTGCTAAGGTCTTCCAGGGTCTCAGCCATGACTACGATATCGTCGGCAAATCGAATGTGATTGATGTACTCGCCGTCAATGTTGATGCCCAGCCCGCTCCAGTCCAGAAGCTTGAAGACATCTTCCAACGCAGCGGTAAACAGCTTTGGCGATATGACATCGCCTTGTCTGACACCGCGCTGCAGTTGGATAGGCTTCGAATTCTAGTCGTGGAGGCAAACTGACATAGTGGCGTTATAAAACATATACACATACATATGTATATAAACACTAATTCGTCGCAATATGTACAATTGAATATTTGGGAGAAAACAAAACACGTCTTGCTGCTACTTAATTTAATAGCGAAGACCCACAATTGTTATCTTAACTGTAGAAGTACCTATATCCATCACAATATGCATACCATAGGTTTTGTTATACGAGTTGCAACTTTATTTATTGGATAATAGACATTAGGATGCACGTATGCGAATGATTGCTGGAGGTCATATATTGTGTAACAAACTAACCAATTTAAACTAATGTTAAGCAATCACTTTAAGCATAAGATTAGCTATTCTGTCTATGTGATAAGGTCAGTCAGGAAAAGACTACAAACAAACGCTAAGCTTAACATCTGAATTCAAATGTATTGTTTTCTAACAATGAAACTTATATAGACGGTAAGACGATTTGTACTCTTGTTAATCTATTCTGCGTTAACAACTCAAAGTAAATAAAAGTTATGAAGGAGTTCACCTAATTTTAATTTTTGCCTTGTCAACCAAGATATCAGATTCGACAATGTTTCGACAAAATTACATATTTACATTTACATTAAAAGGAATGTCAATATTTAGTACTTAATTTCAAAATATATTACATATTTTTACAAAGAGAGAGTAAGATTTTATTATAAGGTGAGTGAAAAACCACAGTACCAAATTAAATAATACTTTCATTATTTGAAATGTTCAATATTCCACAGTGTGTGCGAAGGTGAAGCCGAGAAGAGGTATCTATTAATATAACAAATTCAAGTGTGTCAATTTCTTAAATATGAATATAGAATTGTGACGTCTTTAATTATATTGTTGATTTATTATTTATACAAGTTTAAGAATATACTTTTATTGCACCGTTCATACTCTTAAAAAGATCTATGATTGACTTGAGATTTATAAAGCGCACAAATTGTTATAAAATTGTCAATAAATAAATAATAGAGTTCTGGCTGGAGACTAAAACTTATAAATGTGAATTTGAACAACTCCAGACTTTCTGTGTGATTTATAATTCTGACTAACTTTTCGGTGTTGGAAACGCTGATAAATATTATATTAATCCGAGAAATGGTGATAGGTCAATTTGATGAATTCAAATAATTTTAGTATAGTGTGGGGTTATCAAATATTGCGTAAAATTACGAGGACACATTGCAATATTTTTGACTATTCTTTTGTTAATTCGTGACGACGATTGTTTTTATTTTTTTATGAAATTGGAATAGCGAACAACGACCCACTGTGCCACTGTTTAAAATGTGGAGCAATGCAGTATTTAAATTTTATACTATAAATAGTAATAAATTATAAGATCGGGGAAAGAAGACGTCATATCTTTTAAGTGTCATGTAAACAGAATTAAATTCAATATGAAATGATTTTTCTATAATACATATATGCATTTATAAAGGAATAACCAAACATAAAAACCATTAAAACTCGATAGTTTCTTTTTAGTAGTGCACATTATAGTTTCTGAATGTTATTATTTAAATATAGAATGTATAAATAAGCATAAAACAATGTAATCAAATATTCATAATTGTATTTTAATCCCACCGTTACATAATCATATGTAAACTATAATCCAGATAATATTTAATTTGAATTAAAATGTTATATTACTTAAATTACATTATTCGCATATTAGAGAAAACTACTAGTTAATATCTTGAAATAGCAATTAACAGTCTCGTTTACTTAAAAACTACTTCGCACCCTAGCTCCTACTAACGATTTGTATTTCGGTTCGCAGTTTCATTGCTTTATATGCTTATGTCGGTCTATTTATTTATGAGGTTTGCCAGTCTGGTAATATTTTAGGCTTCTTCAATAATGGCATCTAAATCCGTTTCAAGGGATATAAGAAAATAGTACAGTAGAGTCCGACTTTGACCCTCGATTCGATGTTAGCTCAGCAGCAGCACCACTGTTTACTGATTTACTATCCAACAATCAAATTGTGACACTGATTTACTATAAACTGAATTAAGTCTACATATTTTTATCTTTCCTGCAACAATCATTTAACGATCTGCTGGGTGTTCATTTTTCCATAAATATCCATAATCCATTCCAATTCCATAATCTACTATTTCCACATTGGCTAGCAAATTCCTGCGTATTATTATAGATATAGCAGGCAACTTAATGGAATAGTATATCATTCACGGTCTCGTGTACGATAGAGCTACATAAAGTAGGCTTGACTTGTCATCCCATTAGTTATAATTATTGCAATTTAAATCCGTAATTCTTGTAAGATTAAAAGTCAAACATATTTAATTACCTGTCCAACAAATAGGCGGTATTAAATGTTTAGAATTAGAAGTTTTAATTTTTTCGTTTGTATTATGAAATTTACTCTAGTTAGACTGTAAAAATCGTCTGCGTGGTTATCTCATTCTACCTTTTCCCACTGGAATATGAGTGGTTCGCAGCTACCATAGAATAACGAGATCTCCGTAGTACATACAGTTCATGTATATAAACGAGGAATATCGCTTACTGAGGATGTTTTTGATCTGGTGACAAAATTATGAAAATTAACTTTTTAAGGAGAATAATTCCGTCATATATATTTTGTGCGTAACTTTAACCATTTACGCAGAGGAAGCACTCGAAATTAATGTTTTTTAACACAGTTTTCATTGCTGCTCCGCTTCTATCGGTCGTAGCTTGATGTTATATAGCACTCGAGGACAATGTACTTTTCTAACAGTAAAATATTTTTTGAAAATCGTAATAGCAGAATCTGAGTTTACAGCGAACAAACAAACACACAAACTTTACCACTTTATATTTTTAAGTATAGATAAAACTACAGGTTTATAAACCAGAACAATGTTACAGTTTGTCTTGTTTCTTTTTAGTTTAAATGTGTGGATTTCAGGATTGGATGCAGAATATTCAGCGAGAATATATTGGCAAATAACAGTATCGCGGCTGACATGACGTGTTAATCCGGAACATGTTCTGAGTGCCAAATGTAATCCCAACTTCAATAGTCGTTTATGCCTGACTTACTTTATTAACATTCTTAACAAACTTTTGAGAGAACAAGTGCCAACTCTCAGACATTAAATTAGTTTTGAAAAAATTACCAAGTCTTGAGAGAGAAGAAAAAAATACTTAACATTGGAGAGTTAACTTCAATTCATATATGAAACATCGACATAGGTTTGATTATGTATATAATATTTTTTGTACGACATCCGACATCTGGCATGTTCGCTCTTGTATGAACAGATGACTTTATGCCATTACAAAAAAAAACTACTTCCGTATTTATAAAAACGCGCGGTAACTCTATCAACATTTTGTAAACATAAATTTATTACTACTAATGGTGTCACCATTAGTAGTAATAAATTAATGTTTACATACAATACTTTGTTGGTGTACTTGCTAGACGTTGAATAAAGTAACCATTGCGATTGTTATATTACTAATATTAGATTACAAAAATTGTTACTACCAACCATTTGCTAGTAACAATTTGGTCAAATCTTTCTATTTTTTTTAACCATTGATATCTTAATAAAGATATTTATTTATTATTATAATGCAACAACTTAGAACAGATAGTTTACGTATTATATGTAATTAAGAGCTCAATATTTTCCTTCCTTTTAGGATAATATTAAAATGTATAATTGACAATCGGCTATAAACTAGGTATTACCTGATAGGGATTATTGTATCATATCATGTTATGTAGAATTAATACTGAAATTGTCCAGTTTAAGATAAATAATATTATAATATATGTTACTTATTTGTTAAATCAGTTCGTGGTAAATTAATGTATGTTTTCAAGTGGAAGGAAATGGCTTCTGTCGTACAGCTGACACTAGTTTAGTTAGTAGAAATCTTAACAAGATAATTATATTGAATATGAATAAAAAATGACAGGGAAGTCTTTTTTATAGTAACATTATAAAGAGAAAAATAGTTTTTTATGAGCATGTTTATAATGGATAAATTTAAAAGTAAATGACCGATTTAAAAAATCTTTCATCTACAGATAGCAAAACCAACCAAATTGATTATATTTCACACATAAGGTAAGGGAAGAATAGGGTCTATCCATAAATGATGACGTAAGGGAGGATTAACAAAGTATGAGGTTGTATAACAATGTGTTGGAGAAATTTAATCGTACAAACGGTAAACATAAGTGAAGCAGCTGCTTAAGTAAATACTAAGTCTTTAAAAAATGTAATGATAATAATTTATTATATTCCGATATGCCTTTACTTATTAGCTTATCTGAGTGTTTTCTACATTAATATCGTGTTAAAACTATGTACAAATCGAAACTCATCTGGGTAACAAGTAGGGAATAGTAAGCTTATTTAGTATAAAAATATGTATGTAACGTACACGTATTTGCATTTGTATCTATTTAAATCCAATGTCTATGACTAATAGGTAGTATTGGATACTAATTACGAGGTTGTATTGATTCTTTATCAGTATCGTACACTAAGGTCAAAATAAGGTTGTATGCACACAGTAACAGCTGGATTTCCGTTAAGTAAATTATGTATATTTTTAAGTTACAAATCGATTAAATATGTAAATCAGGTAAAAATAATGAATAACGGCGAAATATATGAACGACATAGATAATCCGTTAGAAAATTCTACTTGTGTGAAATGTGTATTTTGCTAGTTATGCAACTATGATTAATTAAATTGTCAGTTTCCTGTTCTTGAGTATTGAAGTCATAAAAACCTATAGCAACACTAGAATAAATATGTAGTAGCAATTAGTCCTTTATTGTCTTCTTAATGAGCTCTCATGTAATTGATCGGAGATAATTTTAAAATTCTTGTAATATTATAGAATCGATATTTTAAAATTTTATTTTCAACAGACATTAAAAACAATTTAGTCTTTAATTGGAATTAATAATGTTTTGTATTAGTATAACAATGTCGTATGACATTTTATCTAATTTAGATTTTTTAATAAGAAGGATTTACTTCCGAGTTGGAATATACAATTTTTCTGTAGATTCATCAGTCTTTTGAAACCAAATATAAGATGATAACAGCATGACATTTACGTTCAGTTATAATTGGATCGAATTTAAATTGAAGCATTTAATTATTATAATTATTTTATTTAGTTCAATTGTTTGTACTTCAAAATCCACTTATAACTTATTAAAATTTGAAAGGTGAAATATTGTGATGATTATTTGATGAACCTTACACAAGCCTCGGAATTTGTGATAAAGGTACGGGATACTACTAGGTAAGGGTAATTATTAATAGCTGAAATTTAAAAATCCACAGAGAAGTGAGAGCATTATATACCTAATTATTATATTCTTATATGATAATATACAATGAAATCTGTGCAAGTGCAATCGAGTCTAAATTATTAATATCTGCTTGAATCTCGATTGATCTTACAGAGAGCTTTACAATGACATTGTATATGTAATCACAGATACCTGCAATTATTATAATTTACATGTTTCTAATTATACTGTGTATCGATATAAACTATGATTATATCAATTTTTATGTATAAAAATATGTGTTGTATTACCATCACTTGTATCAACATCATCACGTTATCACGTGGAAAACGTGGTACCACTCATACTTTACCAATCCATTTTTTTTGGAACAATTAACAGTTACTTTATAGCATACCATTTTTTTAATACACTTTAATACATGTCATAGTAAGTACACAAACGTAGCAACGTGAGACAAAAGTGTGAGATACCTACTTGCCGTATCTATTTTACTCTATACCTATTGTATTAGTACAGATAGTTATAGATGATACAAATATCGATGTATCTATATTAAGTCTACGATGACATCGACAAGAAACAAGAAAAAATAATGATTTAATTTCTGATGAGCCGGTGAGGAAATTGGTAAGGTAAAAAAAGGTAAAGTTATAAAATCAGATAGTTCAAATCTAAACATAGATATTTTCCAACATCGATATTTTTCGTTTGATATTTATTATACATCGATACTCAATACATCGATGTCAACATCGATGTTTTTCTAATATCGATCATCCGTAATAGATAGGCATGGAAAAATACTCACATAACATTGTCCACGATACATTTCCTGAAACCACTGACCTTTCCTTTATAGAATGTTACTTTGAGGCCATTTAGTGGTATCGCTAGTTTATCGATGACAAACGGGTCCAATACTGGCACATTGAGATTTGGTATGCCATTAACAAATTCAGGGATAGCATACTGAGTACTTTTAACTAGACATTCTTTACTTGTGTCATTGCATGGTATGATGTAGTCAGCTGAAAGAAAAAAATTAGGTTTAATATATAAGTTATTGAACATAAAAAATACAATCTAATTTAATAACTCTTATTACTGAAATCAGTTAAACATATTTCCCAAATCATCCTTTATAAATAAACAACAAACGCTAGGTGTAGGCATCCCAAAATAAACTAGAGTTAAAAACAAATAAAATAACTTTACACATGCGTTGCCATTTCTGTAGATTATGTTATAAGTATGTTTATTTATAGATTTTATTTATTATTACAGATTTTAATATTATTGTTGTTGTTGCATAACTTTGATTTTAATAGAATTATTTTAATATTTAGGTTATTATAATAATTTTGTACGTAAAATAGCTATTTTTATGTATTCTAATTAGGGTCAAAGTAATTTAGGTTTTATTTTATAAGTATACAAGTTTATCATTATTATAACCAATACATATAAAATTACTGAATAATCTTGGTTATAAAAATGCATTATTTTGAACTTAATAATGGTAATTAAACTCGATGATTCATGACCTATGCCATGAACAAGATAATAATTTAATAAAAATGACCAATATTTATTTGATAACTCTGAAATCTTTCTCTGCTCTCACTTAGGTCTCTCGTAGTCGTCTCTAGTGTTTATCAGACACAAGCTTAAAATTATGCTACACTTCATTAAAATAGAAAATAGTCGAAAATGGGGGCGAATTTATGAAAATTTGATTTACGCAAAAGTTAAATTTAAAAAAATCGACTAGAAATATTTTGTGCAATTGAAAACCAATTATTTTAATTTCAATAATTACTGTAATAATTTGACAGAAGAAGTAGATTCAACGGAATTATATATCTGAGTTAAAAGTATTATGGTTTCCATTACTACAGCTAATAAACTATACATGTCATGTATATAGGACAGCGGAATTAAACAAAACAATAGCAATCAATTAATTAATGAAATGGACATTTGACTATTATACTAAAATCGGTCAAGCGAATCTAGATATACAAATTTGACTTTTAATGAACACGCTAAGGACGTGCAGATTTAGAATGTGGTAGGTTACCTAACCTAAACGTGATTAAAACTAAATTATACGTTTTCAATGTGGTCCCTTGCATTCTAAGATTTTAAAGACTTTAATAAACGCACAAAATAATTGTATATATAATTGTTGTAATAATATATATTATTACAACAATTACACAATTTATTATATTATATAAATAATATAGGGGCAGCAAGACACAATGTCCCTCAGTACATATTAAAAATAAAATGAGTACTCATACAGAAGTATTCAAGTAAATTTACCTTATTAAGAGGACATACAATCATCGTTTTATTATGATTTGCCCTCATATAACTAGTAATAAACATTTATTACTATTTAATATGCAGGTAATAATTCTCTTTTATTATTTTGTCACTGCTAGATATATTTGTATATTTACAATAGAAAATATTATATATTTTAAGTAACTTGTATTGCATAGTTAAATATATATATATAATAAGATGGAAAAAATTCAACAAAATCATCTTGTTTATGTCCTAATTCGAATGCCTGTCTATATATAATCGCAAAAACAAGGCAAGAACAAGTTTGTTTTTTGCTGCATTTTAACATTCCACTATATCTTTAATCTTGTAATAAAACAAAATATGTATTTTGAAGCCGAGTGAGGTAAATACCTTTATTTACCATAAAATTATTCGTATTACGACACGGTAACAACAAAATATACAATGACAATAAAAACAAAATATGTATTCATTAGTTTAGTATTTTATAATGCCACAAAAAATAAAAACAATATAAACAACATTATTTTTATAAGATGTGTGTTTTTTCCAAATTGATCGTTTAGTGCATTTTAGTGATTTTTTATATTTTTTTTTCTCAACTACTTTATTTTCTGATAAATTATTCTCCAATGAAAATATAGATGATATATAAACTAATATATAATACTATGGATGGACTCGAGTAATCTCGACGAAATATGGAATGTCAAATATCACGTTTACCACGTTGGCAGTTACGATGTTTTTAAGATTATAATGATGAGAATCTTTATTTTATTTAGATTAAATACGTACTACAAATATCTGTGTTTTAAATAATATTGAAATTATGCAATTTTATGTATATTATACCTTTGTGCCACTGTCACTCAATTGATATTTTACACATTATAATGAATACTAAAACAATAGTTTATTAGCATTATTAATAATTTCTAAATTGATAATTTATTCTCTCTTCATTCTTATTTCATATTAAGCCGATTTGCTCTGCCCGAATGTATATATAAATGTTATGTATAACTCAGATTGTTTCACCATATGCATGTTATACGAGTGTATACTCGTATATGCGCGAGTATTCGCACATATACCTTCCGGAAGTAATTCTGTAAATGATACTGTAATCCGTATCAAAATTCATTGCCTGGTATAGAAGAAGTATGTGGAGATACAGTACGTACTTTGCTATATACTATTTACATATTTATTGTGATTATAGCCCATTAATTAAGTTTCATTCAATAGATTCAATCGGTATGCGAACTTAAAACGATATTTATTTTATAGCCCCATAAACTTCTATTATTCAATAATAATAATACTATATTATTGGATAATAAATTTTTAATTGGGTATAAAAAAATCATACCAATTGAAACTAATTGACGGCCTCGGTGGTCTAGCGGTTTGGTACATCGCTTTACTTCCGATGGTCGCGGGTTCGATTCCTCGCACGGTACAAATATTTGTATTCATGAGTATAATTATTTGTATCAGTCTGGATGTTCTCTATGTATATTATGTATGTATTTATAAAAAAAACTATGTATATATATCAGTTATCTAATATCCACATCACAAGCTCTGCTTACTAAGGGACTAGATGACGCTGTGTTAATTGTTCAGGGTTATTTAATTGAATAGACCTGCAGATAACTACAGATCTGTAGAAGAAAATATTCTAAACAAAATGACAAGCATATGCTTTCATCCTTTAGAGGTATCTATTCTCTGTTCATACTCCCCACGGATACCTTATCTTACGTTACTGCATTTCTAGGCCGAGAATTTGTTATAGAGTGCCATTATTCGTGCAGGAATAAATAGCATAATATTGTAGTGTGGGTCGTAGTCAAGTTCTAAGTTCCTTTTCTGTCGCTCTCGAAGAAGCTTAAAAATTTTCTTTTAAGTTTTATAAAATATAATAGATATAAAAATAAAACATTGCTTTACATTATTTTTCAACGTTAGTCATATTTCTGTTGTAATTAGATTGAAAGTATTTTTTGACACGTTTGTCATTATGTCACGAAATTAAGATTGTTAAATTCAAATGTTAGTATTCATTTACTGAGATATTTAGCCAATATTTAATATTGTTATCACAATTATATTCTACTTTGTTTCTTATTTGTTAGTGTGTCTAAACTAATTTGTTGATGATGACATTGATGTTGAGATCAAATTGAAGTTATTTAATAAATAACAAAGTTATTTAGATAAAATAAGTTATCACAATAAGTAACTCCATTAACAGTAAGTGAATGACTTAACTTATTACAATTTAATTGATTGACGATGAATAATTATTTATTCTCTATTGATTATTCTATTTATCTTACTACTTGTCTATTGATAAGAAGTAGCACAATATTTTCTTTGTTATATTATTTTTGTGACATATCAACGAAAAACATATTAAATTTTGAATAATTTATAATATGGTTTTTTAAAAAAACCATCAATTCATATATAATAATATTAATCAAGATGTAATGATATCTTGATGAATCTTTTCCGGTAAAAATATTTACGTAGTGTTTATTTATAGATATATTTTTTGTCGTTCTGAATAATAATGTAATATGGTAGTTTTGTATAATAATATAAATACTATTATACTTATTTTAACTGTTAACAGATGTTAGGTAATGACATTTGACATTAGGATAGATCTTACAATAAGATAAGTATCATGAGGGTGAAAGCATCCATCTTTTATTAAAAAACTGGCGACATTTTTAGAATCAACTAGTACAGTGTATTTTACAAAGACCATTAAAAATAAATCATGTATCAAGCCGCATAAGCAGAGCATCTAAAAAAAGAGACGAGGATCTATTTTTTGTCAAATCTCTGCCGGCTGAATTACTGGATCATTAAGTTTTTGAAGTTAATATATGTAGATAACTAACTATATTGCTTTCAGGCACATTTGTAAAAAACAGCAAAAGAAATTGCTGCTATATTGCTGCTATGGATACAACTTTAGATAATTATAGTGGATACTGCAATGGACAACTGAACTGGCATCTACTTATACTTCGTACAAAAGTCCATAAAATTAAAAATAACAAAATATTATATTTTCGGTTATAATTTATAGCGTAATGTAGAACTGGAATAGTTGCAAAACATTGCCTTGGCCTTAGCAGTTACTATATTTGCGTAACCATAATATACATATTACGTATATAATATCCATTTTATATAATAATTTTTAATGTAGAATATATTTGAGACGTCAATTTTAATGTGTGTTGTATTTTTACTTAAGTATTATAAATAGTAAATTTAATATTACTTGGTAATTAATATCAATAAAATTACTTTCTATAACCATTGTATTATATAAAGGAAGTTGACGTCCAAATTAAAGTAATTTTACTGCAATATTTAGAAATTATATAAATCTTGTGATTGCATTAAATTTTTTCTACTTACGCGCTAACTTAGTGAATCCATATTGACAGAAGACAAACAAAATACTAAATATCACACACAATGCCGCAGCACAAAAATTCATTATGTATTGTAAGATGATGGTATATATATCAAAAAGATGTATGTGTGAAACAATTAAAGTCAGTTTCACAACTGCTTCGGCCGCACAGAGAACAACTGCTTTATATCGACTAAACGGAAAGACATTATTAGACCTTGCGGTTGTTAGAACGCCGGACAACCGGTTACTTGAATTATTGCAATTATATACTCACTGAAAAGAAAAAAACGCTGAATTATATAATTTTCACACACATTGTATAAATAAACACATCATTATGTGTTTATCTTATTTTTTTTATAAAGGTATTATCTAAGTTTTTATACTTAATTTATATTATAGAGAATCGCCAACTTACTAGAATGCGATAATTTAAGATAAATATATGTAGTTTGAATATATCGAAATTAAACTTTAATTATAAATTAAGCATTACGATATTCAAGTAACGTTATAAAGATTTTAGACTGACAAAATTTGCGTTTCACCATATTAAAGAACTTATTGAGTGGTGCAGAAATAATAATTCACAAAATCCTTAATCGCATCTAAATCTACAGCCATGCAGCTTGTTTTACAAGGTGAATGCTCGTTAAATGTAGTGAGCGCAAATTATAGGGATTACAGAAGAAAAACTTAGTCCTCACAAATAGCAAATTAGGAATTACGGGTCGCATAGTGTAATTTTTCGTATTAGTGACAAATTGTTCTGGTTCATGACTAACTCGAGGATAGCTTACTAAGGTAGACTGTAAGAGTAGTCAGAGTGGGTACTTTAGTCATACCTATTTCAGTCGTCAAGCAGATTGTTTCAGTTAAGCAATTTGTTTTGGTTGAAGGGTGAAAAATTGCAGTGAAATTATAGGATGAGAGGCATACTATCTTAGTCCCCTGGAATAGCAACGCATGTACTGTAGCACGTTGCACGTGATAGCTGTTGTTTCGCTGTGGCTATCAGTTTGTTTTGGCATTAAATTACATAAAAAAGGATTTGGCTGTATCTAATGTATATACAATATATTAGTCAAAGCATGTTTATTATATTATTGCTAGAAAATAATTTCCCTCAATTACTTTTATCCTTCCGACCGGCATTTGAATTGGCATTGGCCACATGCCTGTGGCAGTGGGATTAGGTAAGTCCTTTCTTGGTTAGTAGTTACTATCCACTGGTATTAGTCCTACGATATCTTGGAAGAAAACTTTTTGTACCTTATTCTAGCCGTCATATCATCGATTGTGGCTATCGAAATAAATCTATTTATTTGTGTTGAGATCTTTGCCTCGTTGGAACTCCGTTTCCTGACGCAATATGGTTAATCATATTGCATTATGTCCTGTAATTTTGTATACGAATATACTATGATTATTACGATTCTTTCTAGAGACAGTAATCGCAAAAAAATATATTATTGTACGTATAATATTTGCTTTATTGAAATTTTTTTTTTTAATTTATAATTTCTACTTTAAGCAAAAAAAGTTGATTTTAATATTTAACTCTGTTAACCATTGTAATTCTGGAAAATTACATTGTATTTACTACTAAAATGGATAACATTAAATTATGCTTCAAAGTTGTGAGCATTATACTTCAAATATGGCTATAATTTACAGTGAGATCGAAATATAAGAATTGTGGGTTCATCAAACCAATTCCAATTTTCCATTCATGTGTTCAATTAATTATGTTAGCGGATTATTCCTATGAACCTATTATTCATGTTCAAGTAAAATGGAATATAAACAGATACTATGAATTGTTAAACGATGCGTTGCCAATTAAACGCTTATTTCATGTCAGATATCATAATGGTGGGTTACACCTGCCAATCTATATACGAAATACTATTGGGAACAGGAATATACCTATTCTTTGTTGTTTTCTTTTCATTTTTGTTTAAAATGTTTCTATGTAGGTAATCTTAATAATATTATCCGTCATGACATATGCATCGAAATCAAATTTTTGTTAGGTTTAGTCGTCACATCCAGTTGTTGTTAGCTATCAGGTTTTGGATATTAATTGGCGCTGATCACAGAGTCATAGGTTCAAAATATATATATATTATTTTTAAAAAAGGTATATATTTTTTTAATTCACTAGCGATATCATGTGAACATATATCACTAGCGATATATGTTCAGATGTACCTAATACAGCCTATGTTATGGCAATGTCACTGTCTGGTAACAATATATATTAAAATCGGTCAAGTATATTTTAAGCAAATACACAGTAACAGATATCAGTAAAATCAAATTCCTTCTCCTTATAATATTAGTACAGACAAGGATTGCGCGTTACAAAAATAAGCATTTAGAGAGAATGCATGACACTGGGTTCAATAACTAAAACTATATCTTTAGGTCCAATCCAGACGGCTAGTCTTATTGGCGTACATTTCAAGACGGACCCACTGCACCAATTAAACAGTCGTTAATACAATAAATGTATTGGAATCCCTAAAATAACAAAACAAATAGATAGAATACTGACGTGGTGCTTAGTGGTCAAGCCTAAATCGTCATATGGAATCACCTGTTGCCTGAGGTGGTTGAAAAATAGGTACCTACATTCCATGTTTTTGTAGTGTAGTTTTTATTTAATTTAAAAGAAATTACAGAGTTTTGAAAAGCAAGATATCTTAGTCTTCCGGAACATGATGTCTATGACGTTCATATTTATAAGCGTTGGATAATAAAATTGTATATTTTTCTAAGTTAAAACACATCTATAGGTCATTAGGTCAGTAACATAATAATATTACTACTTACTTTACACAAATTCTTGATTATATAGTAGGTACACGTTTATAAACAAACCTACCCGTGCGTAACTCAATTAAAAGTACCGCAGTTAAAGGTATTTCCGATAAATTTGACGAACATGTGTAGTAATTGTGCATACGAGTAGTTGATTGATTAATTAATTCAAACGGGTATGAAGTAAAACAGAAAAAATATTTAAATAAAGGAAATGTCAAGAAATACAGTGAGTACTATAGAGTTAATTTATGAGATTCCGATCTAGGAGAAATAATACAATGATTTTATCCCTATCGGGTAATGAATATGAATATCTGTTATATTTTATTAAATATCGTATTTAATAATAACGGAGATAAGTTTTGTACAATCTGCGTGTGTATCTTTATGTAGAAAACCCAATATATTTCGGTAGATTGTTTAAATTTACCTTGTGTAAGTAATAAGGGATACCACGTGTAACGTAATGTCCATGGTACTATTCGTGTATATAGGGCATTTACCATTCAGAGGGTCGTTAGCTTATTTGCCATTCCAGGGAACATATCCCATGTTCCAAAGTTTTCAAAGATTAGGTAAGAATAAACCATATTTGCTCAACCTCTGTGAAAGACAATACCATTTATTCACATAGAGGTCCTACGGCCAGCCTCCTGTGCGCGTTAATGTTTTATGACCAACTCTACTGTCCAGTTCGTTTAGTTATTTCAGTTGAGAAGAACTGGGAAGAAACTCAATATTTATGACAGGACCGATGGACGAAGAGATAAATCCAAACTGAGTTAATAAATACTCGTATTATTTCTGAATAAAATAATACCAGCATCATGAAAATTAGTACAGTATTGAATTAATTATTCACAATCTTCATCATTTAAATTTGTGAGCCAATTGTCACTTATTAACAACCTAAATACATTATATGCGTTATAATATTATACTTGGAGTTGTTCTGTGTTGCAAAATAATAATGAAGAACTTGACCTACATGCCAAATTGGTCATGTTTTATTTTTCTTTAAGTCTCCAATTGCAATTATGTTTAATAAGAAAGTGTGATGGTAATTAAAGACTCAGTATCGTCTAAAACTAGTTGTAAAATGCTACGGTACCCGCTTGAAATCGGGTAAAATCCATGTATTATCTATGATAATTGCTATGTGTATCAAATTTCTTTTTAATCTTTTTGAGTAAAATATCCTCTCATCACAAAATTTTCTGTTCGAAATTGGGTGTACCTCACCCCCGCTTATTTCAGTACCCAAGCAGCTTGCTCTGTAAACTGTTATGCGGTTGTAGGATACATATTAGTGAAATTATAGGATAAGAGACATGATATTTTAGTCCTTCGTTATTCATGTAAATAGATGACGCGAGTAACAGTTTCTTACCAGATGTGCCGTAAGTTTGTCTGCCATTCCTATGACATAAGAAAAGAAAACTAAGACAAAGGTATCTATGCCATAAAACAGTTTACTTTGTAAAATCTGGATACAGTTAGCACCATTTTAGATATTAGTGGGGACTTATGGGATCGCTGTATTATAATTTTACAAGCACTTGCTGGTATTCGATAGAGCTTAATTCTTCAATAGTACGAGTATATGTATGGGGAACGATTTTACTGGTAATTGCATGGCAAAAGCCTTTGACTAAAATGCCAATGTCAAAAACAGAAATACTTGAACTATTACGAAATGACTATTAGATATTTAATAAATCTATGAATACTATAATGCAATAATTTTAAAATATTTATAACTATTCATATAAATGAATTATTTAAAGTGACTTCATGATTATATTCTCTAATTTACGTATATATGTAAATTATTTAAATTTTGAATTATCTATTTATATTATATTAACATTGAATGAGAATATTTAAAAGTTAGGCAATCAGATCATTGCTTTTAGATAAATAATATGAACTTTGATTTACAAAAATACCTACACTGCAGCGTAAAAGTAATATTATAACATTGTGAAGAAAATAAAATATAACCAAAGTTTAAGTTTAACTATATAAATATTCTTTATATATTAACGCGATTTTATAACTATTTAGATGAATAGCGATCCACCAAACATAACTCGGTCGTCCAGATTTAGTACATTATTTTAAGTAATAGATATTAAAATAATATAAATGATTGACACAACACAACTAATGGGTTATTGGACGCGAAATTGGAACCTACATTACTGTAATTATAACAATTATAGTGATTAAGACGATGTAGTAACGACAGCCCGGGACGTTATTTACTAATAAATAAAAATAACCGCCCTGAGCTATCACATTGGCCAACATGTACAGGCTCATTTAAGCTATCACATTGGCCAACATGTACAGGCTCATTTAATGATTTTTCGATGTTAGAATTAGTTTCCAAATAATGACATTTTGGTTTTTTATACGAGTATACTAGCGAAAAACATATTACGCCGACCCAAATAAATGGGATAAGGAAGAAGCAGATGATGATGATGATGATGATACGAGTATACTAGCAAAGTTTCTAAATAACATTCCAACTATTGGAAAGTGGAAGGCGCTTTCAAAAGCCTGTGTGCCTGACAGATAATACGATAAGATAAACGAAAATGCAAATATAGTGGATAACTTAATTTATAATCAATATTTAGGGGATTATTTGTTACAATCTTTTACAATTTCTTTCCCTATTTCTTACTCTCTACTTACCCCCATCTCTATTATATCAGATCTGTTTATTGTAAATGATTAAAATGTTTTAGAACTAATATGCACTAATAGCCTAATAGGAGGACTAAATTTATTTAGATAATTTACTAAGAAAGTATTTACCAAAATTTCGATTCGAACAATAGTTCCTGAGTACATAGGTAATAGCGATTAACAGTTAGATGCGTTATTCAGTACTTTTACAATTTATAACACTCCTTTTAATGAATAGTTAACATGCATCACTTTTTTTATGCGATTTTAGTGTTCTATTAGATCGTTCTATTGGATATTGTGTGTGAGTACATAGTTACCCCAATATGTACCGATCTCTGCAGCTCTCTTATTCCTGTCAAGTGATTCCTTTCAAACCTCATTTCATAACGAATATGGCATACATTTCGGATGCCGGCAGAACATCAAGGACTCATTAAGATTTCTTAGAGCTTTGATGTCTCCTTTTGAAAAATTGATTTGTGAAACAAGTTACATTACGAGCATCATGAATCAAGCATAGCGGTGTACTAACAAAATATTTTAAATATTTATTAATGACAATAGTGTCTGTCATAAATCATAATTATGTTCAAGATTTAATCAAAAGGTATTAACACTTTTTTTGTTTGCTTATGACATAATATATTCATATAATAATATTTTATAATATTACCTAAATGTAACATTATTTAGTAATTTCATTGTATTCATCATATAAATTTGAATTAAATATTTGAATAATAGAATTACCGTAGTTTGTTATTCCATACCACGTAGGTGTGTGTGCTTACACCAAATTTATAGATATGTTCGGGACTATGCACAGGCGTGTTCTAAACTAAATTATAGTTATATTGGTTTCAACAGTTTTAAACCGCTTCTTAAGCTATTTTTCACATTAGCTTCATATTCAATCAAAAATTAGTCCAATATTATTAACATAATGTGTTAAAAATCAGTATGGGAGGGGATTGGTAGTAATGGGAACCAATAACGCTACTATTAATATATAACAAATAGACCTCTACTTCATACCCCCATAGAAACTTTAGATTTTGATTGACTTTATTTCATATTCAACCCGCGTTGCTCCGCCAGGTTATATTTTTAATGCAGGCAATTATCATATATAGAAAAATCTGTAAAACTGTATCACGCGGGATTCCGTTCAGACTAGGTATTAGAAAATTAAAAGTCTCAAGCTACCCTATGTTAGATTTGCGAGCATATTTATTGTATAGAGCCCGTATTAATCTCATGACGTAAAAATTTACATTATGTCGTGCAAATTAGTAAAAATGAAGTTTATATATTTGTAATTAATTAAATATAAATAAACATTTAGTCAATATTTAATTTTACGTTTAGATTAAGATTTTTTTCTCAAATCCAAAATGATTTGTTATCCAGTTATAAGGAGAAGAAACTCTAGGAAATATATCAATTACACATATTTAAAACTTTTTATTCGACATTGAAATAATGCAAATAATTATCTATATTATTATATAAAATATACTGAGTCACACTACTATTTTTTTATTATACGACTGCTAACAATATAATACGTCAATGTCAGTATTGTTTCTTTGTCTCGTTTAGCGAGTCCAGTTTGTTTCTGTGCTGTTAACAAAGTAATTTATATATTGACGTGATATGACAAGAGAATCTTCAAAATGTCAAACTTAAAAATTAAATTAATAAGGTCGAATTTCGATCACTTTGCGACCACTAACATGCATTAATATTCCTAGAATATAAAGAATGATTATGTTATCCGCCAGTAATTTTATTGAGTACCTCTAACTCTACAGTTATGAAATTATTTAATTTAGTTTTATACAGTAGGTCTTAGGAGTGTACAAAATAAAAGACATTAAAATAACAATTATAATTCAGTATCAATAATAATGTCTAATATAACTTGTAAAAATTTAAGGTAATATATTATTAATGAAATTGATGGATTTAATATTTTATTGTATTCAATAATTTATGAACCTAGACATAATAATTGTATGTGAAATAAAAAAATCAACAGAAATATAATAAAAAATTACCTGGGACATTTTATTACATGAGCCAGTATCGAAGTTTATATTCTTTAAATATTTTTTTTTATTTAATAATACAATATAATAGGTATATAAAAATATAAAATGATTTGGACTTGATAAAATAAATTTTATATCTGGTAATACTAACATTAACTAGCATATTAATAAAATTAAACTAAATCTAAACATAACAGAATATTTTATTCATCACATATTTTTCATTGGTACTTAGTTGTATGTTTTCGATTTCCATTTACCTATATTAAATAATATACGTATGTTATAGAAATTGTACATTGATATTTTGTAATTGTAGTTGAATTTGTTTATTTAATTTCTGACAGACTGCTTTGAATAGAGACGTTTTTATTAAATTTTTACAAAAAAAGTATCAGTAAAGTATTACTATTGTGTATTAAGTATTGTAATGAATGTTAATATTTTCTTTTATTCGTTTCTTTTTAAATATTGATCACAACAGGTATCTAAACTATTTTACAGTATTTCCAAAATGTGATATTTCTAAATATTCTCTTTTTACAACATAGTATCGAAGAAAATAAAATGTCTCTAAATAAATCAGATACATTTTTCAATTCACAAACGTTTTTTCATTAAAGTTCATTCACGGTGTATCCTAAAACTATATAATAGAATTACAAGTAAAGACTACTATAAACAAACTATTATTACATACAATGAACAAAAAGGATGAACTTTGCTTGTATACTATTGTCAATTTATTTCGACCGCAGCTTCATTTTAAACCACTCATTTATTTCATAATTTGGATCAATAATCTGTTGATTTAAATTACGATTGTAAAATTAAGTTTCCAAATAATAAAATAAGATTTTTAATATTTAGGTATAGGTACATAGAGTAACTCATCATAAGGTACAGCATCGAAGAATTTTTTAGCGGTGCCAACGGTGACATTTAGTGCGTAATCCACCACGGGTTTACCGAATTCTTCTGTCACCACCCTCCAGTTTTCATTCAAGAATTGTAGCACGGTGTTACCTAGAATAAAAATTTTATGTTGAATTAACCTTACGATCTTCTGTTGTGGTTTAATCTGCAGTATAAATATAGTGAAATACAAAATTAATATATGTATAAATGATAAAAGGCTCACAACATGTCAATAGTGATCAATAGTGAGAATTTCAATCGATCGATTTCAACGATCAATAGAAGACAAATCATATCGTTTTAAATATAAAAATCTAATACCAATGTCTTCCATCTGGCCAAATATACATTTATATCAAAAGTTCCCATACCCTCACGATAATTTAAGTGACTATCATATCCGGTGTTATCAGATAATTTACGTTTACATTTTGTAGTTAACCTTTTATTTTGTCTCTTCTTAGTTATGACGTTCCTGGCTAACTTAAAGTAGATGATCATGGTCTTTATGCTTAATTTTCAGATATGGTACTACGTAAGGTTTGGTATATTCTATACTCACCTTCCTTACCACCTACTCTTGGACTTAATTTACAAATTTATATCTGGTCCTTCTGAATAGAAGACATTGACTTTCGTATTTAGATAAATAAAAAAAAATATCTCTATATTTTTCATGTTTTGTAGATCTGATACTGTGAGCCTTTTACCAAAAATATATTTTACTTTCAGTATCAACCACTTGTTGATTGTAGAATGACATAATGTCAACAGTTTTATTAAATGCAAAAGTAGTTTTTAGTTTTTGTCATTTCATGGTATTTGCGAATTATTTTACAGAAGTCTCAAATAATTTATATAGTTAAATCATTTGTTATGTTGGGATTTATTTTATCTTTTTATATATAAAAATATAAAAAAAACTATATATCCTCGATTTGGTAAAATAGATCCTGCATGTCAGATTCAAGCTGAATCAAGATTAAAAAGAATGAAGTACGTTAGAAACAGCAACGTATATCTCGACAGTTGACGCAATGTTTGCTGTGATGTAATCTGTTTATATTCAACAACCGGTTCAAATGCGTGTCAGTGTTATGATGTCGCTCGGTAAATGCACTCAGCACCATGGTGATGTTAATGTGTCTGGGTCCTATCTAGGTTTTAAATTACAACCTACCATTACCACAATCTATTTTAATTGTACTACAATCTTAGAAACTATTTTTATTTATATCTTTATAATAAAAAAAAATTGTTGAGCATTTAAAATCACGTAAGTCATATATATATAGTAAATTGAAAAAAGTTTAAAGCTAACTAATTCGTGAAAGTGTCTCTGATTTTAACGAAGCAGCGAAAGAAATTTTGTAGTTTGAAACTGTATAGTATTGTTATTTGTATATTAAATTAAATAAGTTTTTGTTTGGTTAAAAATATACCAAATAAATAGAAAAGATTTTTCTTTATTTCATTATGAAATCTTTACGTAATTTACTCAAATATTTTTTTAACCGCACTTAACAAATTAAAATGGTAACAGCTTCCTTACTCACACAGTTATAGAAAAATGTCTGGATCCTTTTGATCTTATTCGTTTCCTAAGACTGACATATATTTATTTAAAGTTCATGGATTATTATACAAGTAGTAGTATTATTATACTTCTTGAAAATAACAAATCTCATATCCGCCGAAAATGTAGAGTTGTCGTCTTTTTTATTATGGTGCTAATACTTGAATAATTTGAACAAATTTCCAAGTGAGAACAAAGAAGTTAACTTCTATACATACTAACCTATCCAAAATGCGTAGACGATCGAAATGTTAAAAGTCTTACAAATGTATATGTAAAACTCCTGTAGAAATACGAAGAGCAAATTTTCATAAAATAATTTATTTTAATTTTGCTCAATGCAACAATGTAGTATGAAACGTATTATCGAGAATTTATTATAAAACTATTATTATATGTTTTTAACATAAATATAGAACTTTTAAACTTTCGAGTTTAGTGATTAGTACACCTAATTAATAATGTTTGTACCCGACAAAATATCAATTACGTATACTAAAGTCAATGCAATTAATTTTATGTTTCAACTTGTACTCACGGCTAGTGCAACAAATACACATACTAATAGAGTTCAGTAAATATTTTATTTACCATTAAATAAAGTAAAATTATTAAATTTATAGAAATAAACATAGCCTTTGTCTGTCAAAAGAATTGCCTACGAGCTATTTTTGACGTTTCGCCTGGAACAAGTTGTAAGCCATTGTTTCAAAGACTCAACACATTGACTTTGCCTTGTATGTATATCTATGAAATATGCCAATTTGTAAGACTGCATTCTGAACTGTTCAAACGGAGACAAGATATTCCCAGTAAATACAGTACAAGACATTGATGTTCCCATCCATAAAGACATCATTACGCAGCTCAAACTGTCACGCCACGGCGATTAAAATATGTAATAAATTGCCAAGTGAAATTGTAAATTTATATCGAAATAAATTCAAGAAAGAACTACATAGATGGCTAATCAGCAAATCTTACTACAGTGTTCAGGACTACTTACTTAATTAAAGACACGTTATATTAATATAAGACTTAATTTAGTTATAGATATCTCTAGGAAATTGATCTAAAATAATAGATATGCAATTTATATGTATATATTTATACATTTAGTAGTATATGTGTGTATTTAGGATATATACATGACTATTAATTATATGAGAATGTAGAATATTTCACTTCAATTCAAACTACTTAAATTGAATTCACTTCTATTTCAATATTTATTGCACGCTATAATGTTATAAAAGTTGGTAATTTCGTTTTAGATAGTTGAAACTGTTGATTTAGTGTTGGCAATACTAGTAGTCATATTAGGTTTAATCAAGTTTCGACACTATTGCCAGTATGGGGATGAGATTGTACAGCTCATAGTAACGGAAAGCCAGTATAAACTACAAGGACGGCAACGTAACATCTAACGAGTGCCGATTTCTCAAAGTTTGCAAACGACTTGATATTGTTAATAGTAATCATGTTTGACAGCTTAGATAACTTTCCAGATTAAGTACCAGTTGAAAAGTTTACACTCTATATAATACAGGTTGTAGATTATTCAGTTCTAAAATGATATTCTGTTTGGTGCTATTTATATTGCTATAGAATTATAAATACCGAAGTTGTTCTGTCAGGTTATTAGAATAGTTAATCCACGATTGAATGACTGAATAGATGTTTGATGTGACGATAGTATTTATAAAAAGCCAAAATTATAAACTTGGTTTTGTTTAGTGATATTAAGAGTATTATTAAACCATTCTTAAAGACAAATGTCTATAAGAATGAGACTTATATAGCTTTAAAGAGAAATTGACATATTTCTTTCTAGTAATCTTACTGCATCCGTAGACCGTATCGATAGTACATACTTGGGATTGCAATTTTTTCTTTATATACCACATACTTCAAATGTGAAATGAGTAAATATAAAAGAGTCAGAAATATCAATTCTACTTAAATTATAATTATATTTCCGATGAAGAAGAAGAAAAGGGCCAAGTAATGACTATTACTTGGCCCCTTTCTTCTTAAAATAATCTTATCATCTGAATTTTTAAGAAACCATTTCAACCTGAGTGTGTTCTGATATTATAATAATTAAATTTTATACTCACTTAATTCAGGGTTTCCTTTGAACAAATTGGTGATCGTATAGATAATCCTCTCGCCGTAGTCGAAGGTGTATCTGTAGCTCTTAATACCAAAATGATCGCGATTCTCAGTATCTTTAAAGTATTTTGTCTTGATGTTTAGCTTTATAACCGAATTTACTGAAATCAAATATTAGTAATTGTTTAGAATATTAGAAAAGTGCAATGGTAGAGCGACATATGTTTTTATGTAATCGGAATGGCAAGCAATCACAAGTGATGGTAAGTGGTAACCGTGGTCTGTATTAATAAACAGTACTACGAACATCATATAATACCCATGACGCCATTTATACGTCGCCGTTTCTGAGGACTATAAGGTCCTTGTCTCTTCATTCACAATATCTTGACAGTAAGCTAATTTATAGTCGTTTGCGTCGTACTTTGAGACATACGGGTAAGTACGACGTAGAGGAGTTTTTTCAGAATCTACCTGTGTAGTTTTAATAGTTGTTCTATCGAAAAGTGAGTGGGAATGTTGATGTCTGAAAGTAATTTTATTAGAAGTGGACAACAGTAACGTGCAGTTCGGTGCGAAATTTGATTTGAATTTAAAAGCGCGCGCAGTGGCCAAGTTGACTGTTAAAGCGTACTAACCCATTTTCAGAGAGGTTGGTACTGAGTTTTGAGAAATAATACATAATAAAGTAGATATCTCTATCTATCTTATCTACATAGTCTGGTTGATGTAAAATAAATAGTTACAAGTTTGGTTTACATATAACCAAAATATGTATCTATGTTGTATTGTAATACAAATTATAAAGAGTTTTCATATTAGTATGTACTTTCTTGTATTAGACAGATTTCTAATCTTATACTTTGAAGAAATCAATTGATTATTTCCCAAATTTATGTTCATTCTTACGCAATTATTATTATAACTACATAATATATTTATATATGTTAATTTAATAGATATTCATTGAATGCCCGTAGATCGCTTATGACTTATGCTACACTTGAAATTATGAAGACTTCATGATATCCGATGTGTGTAATGATACGATTGAATGATTATGACCTATCCTTGGCTGCAGTGTGTCATTGTACTGTCATAGTGAGTGGTCATCATACAGTAATTAATAGGGCTTATTAACATCTTATGCATGTCCCAATACCTAATGTTTCTGATAATGCTAGTAACCTAGGAGATGAAACTTCAGTGGTAGGTACTTGAGATTATCGCGAGCGTACACGAGCATTTTATTTTGCAATATATAATATTTTAGGTATTGAGCTATTTTTTTTTATTATTTTCTAATTCGATAAAAAGTGTCAAAAACCACTACAGATTTCGTAAATTGTAATGACATTATTGTACACATAAAAAAAATATAGCTAAAGAAACAGAAAAATAGAAAAGAATATGCTGTTAGTCTGCTTGCGCTTGACATAGATATTAGATATTGATATAACAAAACAGAAGAACTTTTTATAAAAAGATAGATATAATATTTACCAATTTTAATTTTGCAGTCTCCTTCACCGTTGATGGGGAAGAGCAGCAATCTACCAACAGCCGTGTATTTCCCTTTGATCGTAATGTTACAGCGCACCTCTAATATAAATATGTTTTTCTCCAAGTAGGCTCTGGAATTGAACAGGAAAATATTGAAAAATCATATTTACTTGAAATACAGAAGAAATATGCTATAGATACATGTGTAATATATTATTCTAAAAATATTGACTAGTTATAGTAAATATACAGTGGGCCATATATTTAAAACTACATAATATATTGTAACTACTGGTGGTGAACATTTCGCTGAGCATATTTCGATTTTGGAGTAGGATGTATTATGGTAAGATATCGGTGTTTTCTTTTTCGGAAAGTCACTCAAAATATAAATTGATACAAAACGTTATTTCAGTGTCGACCAGATTTAAACCTATGACCTCTTGGGTATATTTCCGAATAGCAATATACTAGGCTACTAACTTAGAAAAGTTTAAGTTCAATAATAGATCAAACTTTAGTTATACATTTAAAATATGCTCTAAACTTAAAATACAATATATATACAAAAAAATAAATATATATAAAAAAAAATCGTTGCATGTCAATGTCATTCAATACGAGTATTATTAACATATAATTGTCTATTCAATATGAGAATAAAACTTCATTAAAATCACTGAATAAATAATTTCAGATTATTTTAAAACAGGGTGAGGGGGAGGGAGTCGTATTAGTAATAATATTAAGATGGGTAGTCAAGTATAACGGTTTGGAAACCGTTATTGATTTTTCCTGGCAAAATTGGCCTTTTTGATTCGTACAATACAAAATACATAACTGTGTCAAATATGTACAATAAAAATATAGGTAAACAGTTATTATAGTATATTCGAATCTTTCACATAATTGTTAGAGTTGCGCAGTTTTGTATATCCAATTGTTTTACCCTTGAAGGTATACTTATATATAAATTATATACGCTGTTGTGTCAGTTACTCATACAAAGGCTTTCGACAACTGTCTGCTTGGGAAATAATTGTGAGAAACGCATTATTACTTTATAGCAAGGTTCTTGTGATAATCAAAGTTTTGATGATGTCCTCGTGAATATCCTACGGCGAAAATTGTGAATGGTAATAACAGTATACAAGGAATTATAGGAGGCTCAATTGCAACATGAATGATGTGGTTTTAGTAACAATCACAGTACATATTATATTTTTATGGCATGTTGAGTCATTTATATCGTGCATTGCTGGCAAATATTTCTATGCACCACTTATGGTTGACTGGGACATAACGCTCCAAGCTGTTACATCCGCCTATAATGCTTAAATATGTAAAGTTTACCATCCGTATTATATGCATTAAAGTTAAATGAATGGATATTCTAAGTTACTTTTTGTATAACGACAATTTCTTTAACAACTTCAATAGAAATAATTTTGGAAAATACGATGAAGTAACGAATATTCGAATTTTCTTGCATTTAACTAACATTGACATTCCTGATAATGTTATAAATCAACATGTTTACTGTACTCCACTATATGATAATATTTTTTACATTAATTAAACTAAACTCAATATAAGTGACGTATACAAATTTTAAAACATTGTCAGTGTTTCAAAAATATTTCCTTATTTCATGATTACAATTCTTAAATTAGAAAATAAACATAGTTATGGATCTTTATAGATCATTGATCATTGGTTATTAAATTTTTTTTTTAGGTAATATTGAAAATCCGCTTTAATATGATGGAAAGTAAGTCTTTCTATCATATTAAAGAGGTTTTTCAATAATATAATATTCATTATATTATTTTTATTATCAAAATGCATCGAGGACAGTTTATTATAATTAATTGGATTTAAAAAAGCTGTATTTTGTTCGAATCAAAAATAACTTTAAACACTTAATCTGAATAAATATTATACAAGTGTGTAAAATAATTTTCTAGTAATCTGTATGAAGTTCCTAAAAATGTCTCGGTACCACAACCCAGAGATTTTTCTAACATTGTTTTTTTAACAATATCATTGAAATCGGTTCATACCATTTTTGGATATAATTGCCTAAATTATTATACAGTTAAATATTTAAAAATAATAACATATTTTCTGCGCATAGGAGATCAAATTGTGTTATTGAAAAAAAAACTTACTCCACATTAAGCACTTCACATTTTTTCAGTCCAGTGACCTTGCCATCGTAGAACGTGACCTTGATACCAGGCAGCTGTATCGGCAACTCATTTATAACGAAGGGGTCCAAAGACGGTACCCCAAGTTCTGGTAGGCCTTTGGCGAATCCGGGAATGGCGTCTACTGTGGCTTTTATAAGACACGCAGGCTCCGTGTTATTGCAAGGTTGTATGAAGTCAGCTGTAACAGAAAATTATTTCTGTTTATACCATAAGAGCGTAAATGAATTTGTTAACAGTGGATGATTATCGAAGTCCATGAATACCTATACTACCAGAGAAGGTACGTGGAATAAAACGGCATACATACAACAATTAAATTAAGAACAATATCGAAACAGTAGATCATTGCCTACTGTTCTAATATTGTAATAGATCACTGTCTTGTCTGTAGAAAAATAAAGCCGCTATTTCACAGAGTATACTCACTAAATCGATTTTACTCTATCAATACTACTCCGATTTTAATAGTGTACAGGTAGTCTAATGAAGGGCTTATAATAAATTAAATCTATAAAACAGATCCATATTAATATCAAAATTTTTAATCCCCGACGCGAAGACTGCGGAGGTATAAGTTTTTCGTGTATGTTTGTGGATTCATAGCTACTGAACAAATGTAATCGAGTTGGTCTTAGCAACTATTATTTTATTTTTTATTCGGGGTATACCTTATTTTTTTTAAATGTGCAATAATGGTTTATTGTGCGTATACGTACGAACGACTAGGAATACAATGTGACATCTTTATATATAAGATTTCACAATTCTCGTGTCACAATAGCAGTTAATCATACTACTCTGAAATTTTATATGCATATTCAGTAGGTTTGAGAATCGGCTACTATCTATTTTTCATACCCCTAAGTCATAAGGGTTGTCCACCTCTAACATTATTTATTTATTTTTTGGGCACATTTTTTTATTTATATTTTTTATTGTGTTTTTTTATAGCGTTATTAATTTATATAGGAAAATAACGTTTGCCGGGACAGCTAGTAATTATGTATTATTACTTTATTATCATTGACCCCATTGACCTCATGAGGTAAAGAAATATTTATTTCTGTAATCTCCTGTAGGTATCAGAATAATTATAAAATCGTAAAAGTTTATTATGCTTATAAGGCAGTCTTAGTTAATTATGTTCATCGACTTTTTTATATTATAAATGCACGATCTATGCATGTAGGTATATGTAGGTAGGTTTATTTAGAAATTAGAAAGATATATAATGTATAGTGCAAATAATAATAACATAACCTAGTATAATATACCTACATATACATAAGTTGCCGATCCTGTTGATATAATATTAATTTAAAATTGTTGTTAAATTTATTAAGGTTTTATTATCAAAGGCTATGTGTGTATGAAACACACACACAGACCTACTACCACTATGTAATGTTCTTTTTAGTTACATATATAAAAAGTTTGATCTCCCTATATAAAAATTTATATTCCTAATAATGTTTGTTTAATGATTGCTTTATATATATTTCGTATGTATTTACATAGATAAGTAAAATAATATATGAGTATAATATAGTCATGGCCATTATTAACTATAGATGTCATGGTATACTCAACACTTATCACACCCAGATTTCGCTTCCAATATTTGAATATATACTTCTATGTATCTATTTATCTATTTACAAAGATAAAATAGAAGAATGTATGTATTAAGTATTAAGATATAAATAAAGATCGAACTTAGAACCTAGGTTTCTGCCATTAATTTTTCGTAATTATTTATTATTATCCTCAATGACGTCAAGAACTTCAGCCATATTGCCTAATTAACCTTAGATGATAATTATGTGTAAATATTTAAGAAAGCATTGTATTATGTAGATTTAATATGTTTAATAACCGAATTAGTTCCTGGTTTGCTAAGGAATATTATTAGTAGGGTAATGCTTGCAAAGCAAGCTACTAAGGGGAAAAATGGGTGTGATGGAGGGATGGTCGAACGACATGTTAGACAGGGATTACCAGTTTTCATCAAATAAACCGTCAGCTTCATTATAATTCCAATAATTAAAGTAGTCCTTATTTGTTATTTCTAGATACTGACGTAGAGCGGTAATTGAGTCCAATATAAAACGTAAACAAGATTATAATTCATCGTTTGTTTTGTAACTTCTTGGTACAATTTCATCTTAGGCTGTTGATACACAAATGGTTGATTTTCAAACTGCCCGTATGCCAAGCTGTTAAAACTGAAGTCCTTCAGAACGTTACTCTGTTATATTTCTTTACAAATTATTTTCTGCCTTTTTATAGTAATCGTTTTATTTTATTGTATTTATAGTAAAATACGTATTTGTCTCAGTGTTTCCTATTATTCAGTATCTTGATCTACCTAATTTTATGTACGTATATAGATCGACTGTATATCATCAGTCTTATAGGTTATATTATTATTATAAAAATATATCTACAGAGTAACACTGTGTGTGTTTTATTAAGATTTAAAAATGCGATCGAAATCAATTGATACATTCGGCAGGCGCTATATATAATTAGTTTGCCTTTGAACTTATTTTCTTTTGGTTGATAGCTGTAGAGAGTCTTATATGTAACACATATGTACATATTACTTGCATATTTTAAAGGAATTATAATTTTTATTCTTGCGATCAACTGAATATTTGTTTCAGCGAATCATTTAAGAAATAACTTTCGATGTAAGTACAGTAAGTACATTCAATTTAGAGACACGCTACGAATATGCAGATATGTATTTGAGTATGATTGAGAAAATCATACTCTTTTTCCTTGAGTCACGCTATTTTATTCATTTTACATACATACCAATATATGTACATACCGTACCTGTAGGACGAAATATATATCATAGCAAAGTTATCACTAGGTATTAATATTTTTTTATACCAAATGGTAGTAAACAAGCATAAACGTGGCCCATCAAGTAACAGACACCATCAGATGATTACAACAGTATTTTTTGTAGACTCTGCTATCAGGCCTAAGAAATTTATCTGAGTTAGACTGTAAAAAGTCGTCTGCATGGATGTCTTACTTGTTTTACCTGTCTTACCTATTTCGGCTTTCTTTATGTAGCTATATTTCGCTTATAGGGTGGAATTAGGCAGTGAAATCACGGAATAATGTAGATAACATCTTGGTCCTCTAGAATGACAACGAATGTGTGGTTACCGCTAACCATTATGTGATCTGTCAGCTTGTTTGCCATTCTAATTATTTAAAAAAATATCCATTCGCATAATTTTTAGGGGCGTAACCTTGCTATGGAGACGTTTTGAAACGTTCACAAATCCTCAGTACAGAGAGGTTGTTCCATGAATTTTGCGAACATATTATGAATTCTGCTTCTGGGAGCAGCTAGGCTGTACTATATTTGCAAAACCCGATACTACAACTAATATATAATACGAATGTTTAGTGTAACCGCAGAAATAAAGTAAAAAATCTGTATATTTTTTTAAAACCCCATGCTAGTCCTATACATTGTCTCTAGGAAAACCCCGAGAAGAGGCTCTATTCTATTCTGTTCGTATTTTTAGTTGTTTTTATTATGTATTTTTTTTAACATGAGCATATCATATAGAAGTAAACTTGATGAGGAAAGTCTGATGAATTAAGCAGCCAAAAGGCACAGATTAGTACCAGAAAACTTATCTTTAAGGGTATACTTATATCCCTATTGAGGACAGACGGTAGAACAACATAGCTGTAACTAAATACCATTTAACAGTCATAAGCAATAAAAATCAATTTTAAAAAGTGTTTAAATTTCTGCCAATATGTCACATTAAGTGAATATTATACACTTTTTCAATATAGAACATAACGCTTCTTATTACTTGTCTAGGAAGTTGATACCAAAAATTGAGTAACACTTGCAGTAGTATGTACGTACATAAAACTTACAAAATTTTAAATAGTTGCTGAATATTTTTCCTCTCATTAATAATATTGTTTATGTCATAGCTACGTAGGTATAATGTTTGTCTATAAATTGGTTGTTGAAACTTATACTTAAATGTTTGTATTTACAACTGCTTAGTTTAATTTTAGAATACGGAAATTATACACGGAAGTCATTGAAAATAATAAAAAAATAAATAAACAAAAATAACGACTATTTTATATATTACATATCAATGTATATATCTAATACACATAATTAGAATTTTAATATTAAAATTAGTAGATATCGAACCTACATATGTATAGTTTCTATGTACTTCGTTCAAATATCATAAACGTAGGTGAAATATATTATTTCTAAAATCCTTAAAGTTAATGTTGATAGAAGTTATAATTTACATAATATATCTGCTGCAAATAGAACTGCAGATAGGTAAAATTACAATTAACCTCATTACCATCTTTTTTAGCCAAATTAATTGTTGTCGCTTACACTCGTACACAGACATTACTTATTTTAGACCACCTTTGTGGCATCCCGGACGCAAATAGATAGATTGACTATTATTCTAATAAAATTTAAATTACAAGCAGTTGGTTTCTTTGCGACTGTTTACTGTACTAAATTTAGATATTGGTATATTTTGTATAATACTGTTTGACCTATTTGGGCCACCTAGCTTGCTTGCAAATAGCTTGCTTTGTTACCTGTATAGACGTTACATATAGACAATTGTAACAATTATTAGAAATTACAGAGTACGGAAATAAGACATTTTAGTACTCCACAATGGCAACGCAAGAGGAAATACTTGCGACATCTTTCGACATTATTTATATGTGTAGGTAGAGGTTGCTATATTCTATCAAGTTAGCATGGATGTTATTTTAAGTACATAAGAAATGCTATAAAAAATGAGAATACACAAATAAGTACAAATAGATACTCCATTCAGGTGCACTGTCTATTCGCTACAAGTGACGTCCATACAATAGCGGCGTTCTACCGTTGCGGCAGGAGTCGGTATTGGTCGGTATGCAATTTGAATTGAACCTTTACGCTTGATAGCGAAAAACAACATTGCACGCACTGGTGCTTTAGAAATAGACAAGGCGATGGTTCTTACCCACGCGAATCAAATTCTAAGTGCAATTACAAAACTAACATAAAAATCTTAACTTCCTGAATTGCCAAAGGATTACTTAGATACCATTGAATTGATAAGGCGTGAGTACAATCTAAATCGGAGAATCGGG